CTGAATTTTTACTAATCCTAGAATTCTTTGAATATTAGTCAATGGATATATTCTGTAGCTATGCAACCTGCCCCCGCGTCAGGACCAAAAGAATAGGTCCATGTATGAAGGTTCAATTAAACTGATTTATGGTTAAAAGCCCACCCACAGGAATCTTAACTAATGGTTAGCACCTGTATAGACTTAGATAAGGGTCGATGGCACTCAAGGAGGGTTGTAATTAGTTCTCTTATGGCTACACAGGGATTCTGGGTGGATCCCTCTTTTCACTCTGCCCTCGGGTTCCACTATCCCTTTTCCTACTCCCCTCCATGACTCTGCAGAAATTTTAATATGGAAACGAAGTATCAATTCAGACTCAGAAAAGCATTCTGGCACTATGATTATGTATCTGGGATGAAAACCAAGTCAGACAGAGGATTAAGAATACGTCTATGACCTTTAGCATTCTTGCCATCACACTGATCATAGCCAAATACTTTCACTTACTGCTTTCTGTAGCAACTGCCAAAATTAGCAAATCTTGTTTTTACAATGCAAACAATGCTATCTTGTTAATTTTTTTAGTCTAGTCAATTACCTGCTGCCAACATGTTTAAATCAGGGCCCCTCCTTTAAAACAAACGAGTGAAATTTCCAAATACAACTTGACTTGAAAAAAATAGCTCCATGCAAGCATTTATAGGCATCTCCCTGCATATCTTACCATTTTAAATGTGGAATGTATGTATGTACATACGAATTATGTCCCCTAGCTCTCTACTTAATCATCAGGACGGTGGTCACAAAAGTTATCTACAATAAGAAACCTGGATAAGTTGGGACTGTAAATGTATGAAGTTAAACAAAAACCACTTGTAGAACTTCTCAGAAAATATGTGAAATACACTGTGCAGGAATATTGGGGATTGGGCTTGCCTGTACCCCCTATCTTTTCAATACTTTTAACTCTTGTACATGGAAATCAGCCCTACTGTCATACCTCTATTGCTCTTCTTGTGCAAGGAAAACACACACTGCAAGACAAAAACAAGGATATTCTTCCGGTGTGAAGTCGATTTCTCCTGAGAGAAATTGATATTACATGCCAATAGAAGGCAGGGTCAAAGGAGGCATATTCAATCACACATTCAGTCATATGCCTGAAAACAGCCTACCATAAAAGTGACTTATACGCCATTGCATTGTGTAGTATATAATATAACCATGCTAAAGCAATATCCATCAAAACATATTATGGCTTATTGCAATCTATGAAAAAATCAATGACATAAGACAGGAAGAGATTAATTCAGGTGCCATGCCATACCATGTCTTGCAAAAAAATTCTTTAAGGACCCAAATTGCTTTGGAGGTCCCTACAGGCAAAGTATTATTTGTTTATCTATATAAATTCATTCCTGTCACTAGAGTAAAGTGGCCAAATTATTAATTTCAGATAATTTGAGGCATGGTCCAAATTGAAGTGCAAGAGCTGTGGTGGCCCAGTGGTTAGAATGCAGTACTGAAGGATACTTCTGTTGACTGCTGGATGTCTGCCGTTTGGCAGTTTCGAGTCTCACCAGCTCAAGGTTGACTCAGCCTTGCATCCTTCTGAGGTTGATAAAATGAGGACCCAGATTGTTGGGGGCAATAGGCTGACTCTGTAAACTGCTTAGAGAGGGCTGTAAAGCACTGTGAAGCGTTATATAAGTCTAAATGTTGTTGCTAGTTTCAGAGTTAAGTGGTAAATAAATGGTGCAGTAATATGACTTACAAGTAAGTCCGCCATGAAGTTATTTCTTGTATATATTGATATGGGCTTTTTAATTGTGGAATCTTTGCCAAATTAAAGTAATCAATGCCTCATATCAATTCTGCAAGAGGTCCTTCAGAAGACAGAAGTGTGAACATAGCATCTGTCTGCCACTCGAAAAGTCATTTATCTGTCTCCAGGACGACAAAACTATAATGGAAAACTCCATACAACAGTTGCATAATCTTAGCAGCGTGCACACAAACACACACACACACACACACCTATCCAAACGTTGCTTTAACAAATTGCCAACAAGCAGTGCATCCATGGTCTCATGTGTTCCAAAAACTGCTATCAAATTACTCACTGGATAACAAAGATTCCTGGCACTGTTCTCAAAAATGATTTTGGAAGTAACTGGTCACTTACTTCCACAGCATGAGTTAAATTACTTTTAAATCTCTTTGACATATACCGTAAACTAAAGGTAAGGATTTGTGCCATGACATACAACAGCAGCGAAGCTCTAAGTAATATAATGGCCTTACCCTCAATCCTTTAACAAGATTCACTTAATCCATTAAACTATAAAATGTAATCAATAAAAGATATGTAATATGTATCTCTAAATTATAGTTCAGTGATACATAAATGAGCTCCTATTTCCTCCTTTGGCATGATCAATATAACTAGCTATTTTATTTTAGCACTGTACATAAACTTTCATTAGTCTTACTTTTTATATATTTTATTTATTTATTATTTCTTTGCCTCCCATCTTGCATTTAATGACTCTGGGTGGCTTGCAACAAAAAACCATTACATTTTTAAAAAAATCATCTATTATAAAATAGCACAGCAGATAAACTCATTAACACAACATGGAAAAGGAGGGAGTCGGACACACGGGATGGGTGGGGTGGGATTAGGTATTAATTAGTCTACCACTTCTAGTGTGAAGCTCCCCCATTGGGTCCTGAAAATCATCTGGCAGTTGTTATCCATGAAAGCACAATTTCTGTAGCTGTACTATGTAATACATTTTAAATGTGAATTTGCGACTGAATAATGGATAAATTAGAAACAGACTTTTTCTGCTGACTATACCAGAGAAAGGGGGTGGGAAGGAATGGGAGACTTTGGAGGTGTTAGGTGGCGTAAAAACTGAAGAGAAAGAAGAAGAGAGAGAAAGAAAGAAAATAATTATAAAACTTGTCTAAACAAGACTAATATGACGAGCTACCGTTGCATACTGAAAGGGGGAGGAGTTGAACAGACCCATTCATTTGATCCAAAGAAATTCTTACTAAATCCTAACAAAGGAAGACAATATTTGTGCATTTTTTTTAAAAAAAAAAGTTATGTTCTTACCGCAAGCCTTACAGCAGGCCACACAAATTTCTTCTGTGACATACTCTCCAGCTGGAAACAGTAGATAGTCACCTTCTGTCCTTCCTGGGGAATTATAAAGGTAAATTCGAAACAGCTGTTCTGACGGTCGAGAAATGGTAGAATTTCCAACAATGCCACCATTTTGATGAATAGAGGATGATACTGTTCCTTCCATATCTGTCACTGTAAGTAAGGCCATGATATCTTTACATTCTGTTCAGCATATCTTCCTGCAAGATATTAAAATTAAAATTTGTAAACACTTTATATATATAGAATATTTTGCATTAATTTAAATTTGGTTTATAGATTTGGTTTATTCAGACCAGTCCAGCATTCCAAAAATGAATGCATTCTCTCTCTCCTAAACTCTTAAGAATTTATCATAAGCCGATGATAGAGTTTTATAGACTCACTGACTCTCAATTGACCTTCTAAGTAATCTGAAGCAAATAATGTTTCTTATAGTTCAGCACCAACTTCTCAAAAAAACTAAATCCAGCAAAATGTAGATATGTATTCTCTGATACTACGTGGTAACTGAGAAAAGAGATGACTGAGAATTTCAAAAATCCAACCATATTTAACATTTCGTCAACACCAGAAATCATTTGCAGCACCAAAATCATTTCAAATAAAATCAAGGCCAGACAGGACTTTGAGGACAGAACCCTAGTTAGTTATGCTTGAGGGGAAGGGCGTTGGACTTTGCTGTCCCAGGATCTTGTAAATGACTGCCCTTATTGCTTCATCTCTTGCAGGCATATTGAGCAACTTTCCCAAAGGCATAAAACGAAGACAAAAATCTGGCACCCCAGATTGATGCACTCAACTAACACCTGATGTTGCCTTATATGAACATGTGTGCAGGATTCTGTTTTTTTAACGCTTCCCAGTAATAACACATTTTATTCCTTTCAGTTCTAATCCTCACTAATTTACTTTGCTTTGAGAGGCAGAAGGCTCATTTTTCAGAACTTAAACAAGTCACAATACCTTCTTCACATGTAGTTGATGACATAATCCAGAGTTAATACAATAACGCAATAATAATGTGACTGCTTTTAAAGTGCCACAAGGTAGTTGCTGCAAGAGATCCCTTCAATACAGCATTGTGAAATGCAGCTCTATTGTAGCCCACTGCAAAATACAGGCTCACAAAATGGGTATCAGGCAGTTTTTATATGACAAATAAGGAGCTGAAAGGCAGTGAGTCCAGCCACATTGAACTGCTACATGAAAAACTTTTCTATCTGACCCTTTTATTAGCTTTAGTTATGTATACTGAATTATCTAATGTGTAATGATTCAGAAAAAAATAGGTAGGCTCCTGCAAAATATATACATTTCTTCAAGATAAATGCTACATCAGTTAATGAGTTTACAGTATGTTGGATACATTTGATCTTAAGGAGAACTTTTGGATCTCACCTCCAACATGCAAAACATAGCGGTCCTGGCTGAGATAGGATTTTGGATTATATTTTTAGCTTCAGAATACCTTAGCCCAAATAAGCAAGGCTCTTTAATCTTGCACAAGTGTCGATTGATACTGATTTCTGTGACAGGTGAAATTCTAGAGGAAAAAATGATATTATGTCAGACTGTCCAATTTTTCGCCATAGACAGACCAGGTTTATGTTAATATAGTTTCTATTTTTATTCTTAAGGAAAGTACTTAATAATACTTCATAAATGGCAAGTGGCCTCAATGACAGAAGCCAGCAATTGAGTGAGGTGCTACGACTGGATACAATGGCAAAATATGTCAGGAAGGCAATCCAGGAAAAAAATAAAGCTGGCAGACTATGAATAAAATTTAGAAATAACATCCTATAGAGCAGCGCTTTTGAGAGTTTTAAACATTTGCATCTCTTTATACAATTCATCTCTGTAATGTTCAAATGACACTTGAGATAAAGATAGTATCAGAGTTATTAAATATAGTTGAAGGTTGAGAATGTAAAAAAATAAATAAATTACTGCCCAACTATCAGTTATTTTCCCGTTTTACTTCAAACTAATAAATGTAATACTTTATTTACACCTAAGTGTATTTTAAGTGAAATAAACTTTTAATGACCTAATTTTACTCATGGACATCAAAAACACAATTGGATATTTTTCAAGAATCCACAACAGAAAAATCCTTCTTGCATAAGAATAAGGGGTGAGAAAGTTTCCAAGATTTAGAGACACAACTCTAACCCTCTAAAGAGTCACTGATGATTTGAGGGTATTCTTGGAATGAAAATGTTTGGTGGGCTTTAATGGTGAGTAGTGTGTATGAGTCAAGCTACTTTCTGTCTCAACCTAATTTTGAAAAATAGATTGAAATTACTACAGTAAAATTTGGCAGCAAGAGAAAGAAAGGTTGGAAATTGAGAAAAGTGGGGGAATATTTTGACCCCTTGAGGCCTTCTACTCTTATTCCTATACTCATTTTTGAAAGGAAAAAAATGAAATACTAAAATTCAGCATGGTTTTATAAGGCTATAAAGAAGCCAGTTTGATGTACTGTATTTTTTTGGACTATAAGACGCACTGGTGTATAAGACGCACCAAGATTTTGAAGAAGTAAGAAAAATATTGTCCTCCCTGGCCCCCACGAGCACTCTGCAGGCTTCAGCAGAGCTGGGGGAAGGCAAAANGTTTGAGGAGGAAACCGTAATTGGATAGCAAAACTTTTTTTCCCCAAATTCTCAAATCCTTGTCAACATTTTTCCTTACATAGAGAGTACATAGTTTGAATGGCTTTATTCCTTTAAACCCAATTGCTCAAATCATTATCAATGACCTATCAATACCTTGGAAATAAAAATCCATTTTAGAAAAAAATATGTGTATTTATAGTCATATTTGAATTTTTTCTGCTTGGTTTTTTGCACCTGCAGAATTTTCTTCTCAAAAGCCTATTATTGCGAAAAACACAAAGAATAAATTAGACTGACCTTGTCTTTAGGAATTGAGAAAAGGTGGTTTGAAATATCAATCCTGTAGACAGATCAAGACGTATCAATCTGCCACCTCAAATTTGAAAATTCTTTTATTCTACCTTTACCTACAAAGCTAGGTTGTAATGCTAACATAATAACTAAGAATAATAAAATTATCTGAGGCAGCCCTTGAATTCAGCTGCAGATCCTTCCATCTGTTCTATGTGAAGGGCCTTGAATCAAGATGAAGTCAGCTACTTCTAGGATTAAAAAACATAACTATATATTTTATGATGGAGATATGTATCTTTTTGTATATTTTAATTGCAAGCTGCTTTGGAAACCAGTTCTAACTGGTTTAATAGATTATAGATATAATTAATTCATGAAAAATAATGAACCTTCTCATTCCTTGCAAAGGAGTCCAAGTAGCAACAAATTACGGTATGCTCCTAATTACATATTTTTTCACTGTTCTGCTCTTTCAGTTTCATTATTCCTCCAGGATAGTTCACCATCTTGTCTTACAAGATGGAATAATGAAGAGGACTTATCATCACATTTTATTGGGGAGCTGGTAAAAGTGTGCTAAATATTCTTCCAAATATGCTTTTTCACGAGACATTGGGACTTTCTTCTTCTTTTGAAGATGTTTTGCTTCTCATCCAAGAAGCTTCTTCAGCTCTGGCAGGATAGTGGGGAATGGAAGGATGTACATTCCTTGCAGAAAGCTGGTCATTTGTATCCTTGTAGAGTGTCATTGAAGCACTTGGAGGTTTATCTGTATCCTCAGGGTCACCTGAGTAGTTCTATTGGTTCCTGTAGTCTGCAATTTTTCCTCTGGAAATCCATTCCTACTCCCATATCATTCAAAGAGTGTTCACCCCAAATTGTATAGCGTAACGTCTTCAAAAGAAAAAAACAAGAAAGTCCAGTTGCCACCTTTGAGACAACCATGACCTGGACGACTGAGAATCTCTACAAACTTAGTTCTGAGCTTGAAATATGCTGACTTCAAAACAGCTATTTCCTTAGTGTTTTGAACAAAAGTCAAAATATGTGTGTTCTGAGAGTTTTGTACACCCACAATACAGCTGCATGTACTTTGTTTTGTTTGAGAATAAGTGCTTTGCTGCTTGTGGGAAACACAGACTACATATTGCTGCCAGCAGTTTGCAGAACAGTTTTGTGGTGATAAGCAGGTGCTTTAGTATCCCTATGTAAAAATATATTTATATTCAATATTTCTTTCTCTACTGATGTAAGCATGAATCTTCAAGCTTAAGGGTACGCAAGACACTTGACTTGGATGTGTTGGGTTGACTTTTGGTTTTCTAGGTTGTCGTCACCCTCACAGCTGTGAACCCCTATTCAAGACAGGCATCTTCATCTTCTGACCCTCCCGACAGCCTCCGGATTTCTAACAAAATAACAAGCTAACTAGGGGAGCAGTCAGTGCAGCTTCCTTCTCCATCTGTGCTGAAAGAAGAGCCCTTCTCCCCCCCCCCCGCAAACATGACTAATGCCGTTGTAAGAACACTTACCTTGAAAACTGTATGCCCATGTGTCACCACTGCTACATGACTGTATCAGTTGGTTTCCAAGGGCAATTCAAGATTCCCTTTGTTAAGCACTGACATATTGTGGAACTAAGGAATTACTGGTATAAAGAGGTAGTGCACTACACCCTAACGTAGGCATGCAGTACATTGCATATATTAGGTTCAAAACAAAAAGAAGCATAAATATCTTACCTCTCTCACACAGCTAATGATAAGGATCAGTCATGAGATCTGTCCTGTGCATGTTTAGCCAGTTTATCTTATGTTTCCAGGTGTGCATATCACATTTTGATCTCTACAATTATTTCAAAACTTAAACAGAGAACTCATCAGTGCTTTTAAAGTGCCTTTATTCTTCTCTCTTAGCTGTTTTCTCCACTTCAAGCTAAATTTCTGCTGTTCTAGAAGCAAACTTCTACTCAGTGATGAGTCAGCAGAGACCAGGTCCATATTTATAATGTTGAATTTATATATTATAATAATTAAAACGATGCAATAATGTATCATCTTTAATGATTTAACTATCCAGGTACTGAACTCAAAGAGACTGAACAATTTGGTTACATATGTTGGGCTTTTCATTTGAGCAGGAATTATGCCTTCTAATTGCTTTTCTAGACATAGGTTGTTAGTGTGCTGTTGTTCACCAAATGTTTTGTTTAATCATTATACATCAACCCATGGGTCACAATTTTAACATAAATGTAATTATTACTCCTTACCTATTAAGAAGTGAATGCTAGTGGAGCTTCAAGAAGGAATATAGGAATGACCATGTTGGGCAAGAAGTGTTTGGCAATACAGATTATTTTTTTAAAAATCATATAATGGATATTAAAAGAAAGACATGAAATGAAATGGTATTTCCTGGTCAAATAATGCCCAAAACTATGGTGTTTTCCCCAAAATATGACAGGGTCTTATTTTCTTTTTACCTACAAAATATGGCTCGGGCTTTATTATGGGGAGAGGGTTTATTGTTTTGGGGTTGCCGGGCAGCTGCTCTCTTGCAAGCAGGCTCCCA